TGCAAATCAGTATAAATTGATTAATATTTATTTATTAATTTATATTTATTTTATTTATAATTTACTAAAAATAATTATATAATTTAATGTTTAATAAAACCAAGAAGGCCAATTGCTATTATTGCATAAATTATTCCTAATGAGCCAGAAGTTTCCTTTTTCCGGATTCTTTACTAATAATGTGAGAAATTATTCCAAATCCAGATAAAATTAAAATATAAACTTCTGGGTGGCCAAAAAATCAAAATAAGTGTTGATAAGATTGGATCTCCTCCACCGGCTGGGTCAAAGAATGAAGTATTTAAATTTCGATCTGTTAAAAGTATTGTAATAGCTCCTGCTAATACCGCTAAATTAAAATTTTTGAATTAAAAAATGAATTAAAAACTTGATTAATATGATATATTTTAACATTATTGAATATAAAAATTTATCTAAAAGATAGAAATGAATTACTGTAGCTTATATTTAAGTAGAAATGGGTTACAATAAAATTATTTAAGTGAATTTAAATTTGAAATATTTAATGAAAATGGATTTCATAATAAAATTTTATAGATTAAAAATTTGATTTTAGCTCTAAAATATGCAAAGATCGCCCGTCGCTCTTATTCTTAAGATAAGATAAGTCGTAACATAGTAGATGTACCGGAAGGTGTATCTAATGACAATTTAAAGCTTATTTAGTAAAGTATTTCATTTACATTGAAAAGATTTTTGTGGAAATCAGTATAAATTGATTAATATTTATTTATTAATTTATATTTATTTTATTTATAATTTATTAAAAATAATTATATAATTTAATGTTTGTATTGAAAAAATAATATTAATAATAGTTTATTAAGTATTGTGAAAGATAATTGATATAATTTGAAAAATTATTATTTAATTTAATTTTAATATAAAATATATGAATAGAATTTTCAATCATTTATAAATTTGTTATAAATTATTTTATAATTTTTATTATTTACTATTATTTTAAGTTTTTATAAAAAAATTTTCATAAATTTTTTATGAAAAGTAATAATGATAAAATTAGTATATTTTATATTGTATATATAATTTTAGTTGACAAGTTTAGATAAAGAACTCGGCAAATTTATATACTCGCCTGTTTAACAAAAACATGTCTTTTTTTACACAGTTGGTTGGTCTTCGAATTCTAATTATGCTTTATTAGGGGGATTACGTGATGTTGCTCAAACTATTTCTTATGAAGTTAGAATAGCTTTAATTTTATCATCTTTTCTTTTTTTAATTGGGAGTTATAATATACTTGATTTTTATCATTTTAAATATTATGTTTGATTTGTTATTATTTTATTTCCGATTAGATTAGTTTGATTTTGCATTTGTTTAGCTGAAACTACTCGTACCCCTTTTGATTTTGCTGAAGATGAATCTGAATTGGTTTCTGGGTTTAATGTTGAATATAGAAGTGGTGGATTTGCTTTAATTTTTATAGCTGAATATGCTAGAATTTTATTTATGAGAATATTATTTTGTGTAATTTTTTTTGGTTGTGGTTTATTTAATATTTTATTTTATATTAAATTAACTTTTATTTAATTTGTATTTATTTGAGTTCGTGGAACTTTACCTCGATTTCGTTATGACAAATTAATATATTTAGCTTGAAAATGTTTTTTACCTTTTTTTAAAATAAATACCTAATAGTACTGTAAAAAATAATCCTTGTGTAGCTTGTGAATGATTTCCTTCTATTAAGCTATGATGTGCTCATGTAACAGTTACTCCTGAAGTTAAAAGAATTGCTGTATTTAGTAAGGGAATTTGGAATGGATTAAAGAGTTTAATCCCTATAGGCGGTCATGATGCTCCTAGTTCAATACCAGGTGATAAACTTCTATGAAAAAAAGCTCAAAAAAAAGATATAAAAAATAATACTTCAGATAAAATAAATAAAATTATCCCGCATCGAAGGCCTAAAGTAACAGAAATAGTATGTAATCCTTGAAACGTACCTTCACGTGATACATCTCGTCATCATTGATAAACAGTTAGGATAGTAATAATATTTCCTAATACAAATAATGAAATATCATATTGATGGAATCATTTTACTAAACCTGAAACTGAAGTTATAGCACCAATGGCTCCTCATGGGCTATAATCTACTAAGTGAAAGGGGTGATTAGCATGTGTTCACATTAATTAACTTCTCTAGAGTATAATGTTCTTAATACATACATAAGATTGAATAATTGCTACTGCTGATTCAAGAATTAATAAAGCAATTTGACCAATTAAAAGTAAAGAAATAATTATATACGAAAGGCCCGTATTCCCTAATAATGTTAGTAGTAAATGTCCTGCAATTATATTAGCTGCTAATCGAACTGCTAAAGTTCCTGGACGAATTACATTACTAATTGTTTCAATGCAAACTATAAAAGGTATTAAAATTGCTGGAGTTCCTTGTGGCACTAAATGAGCAAATATATGTTGAGTATTATTAATTCATCCATAAATTATAAAACATAATCATAAAGGTAGTGCTAAAGTTAAAGGTAATGTTAAATGACTTGTTCTTGTAAAAATATAAGGAAATAACCCTATGAAATTATTAAATAAAATTAATGAATTTTCATTAATCATTATTTAATGATACAAAAATAAAAGTTGATCCTGAGTGACTTGATGGTCCTAGTAATGTTTTAAATTCTTTATGAAGTGTTAATAAAATTGAATTTCAAAATACATGGTAACGTGAGGGTATAAGTCAGTACACTGATGGAATAATTAATAATCCTAAAAATGTTCTTATTCAATTTAATGATAAATTAAAAATTCTTGAAGAAGGGTCAAATACTGAAAATAAATTAGTTATCATGTTCAATCTAATGATTTAGTTGACTTTTGTGAAATCTGAGATTTAGGGGATTTAGGGATTATTGAATAATAATTTATTAATCTAAATAAAATAAAAGTAATTGAAAAAATAATAAATAAACTTAATCAACCGAGAGGCTATTTGTGGAATCAAAAAATATTAAATATTTTAATAATTTTAGTTTGACATACTAATGTTATATTTTAACTAATTTTTTTTTCATTAGAAGTAAGTGCTAATTTACTATTAAGTGGTTTAAGAGACCAATACTTGCTTTCAGTCATCTAATGATGAATTTACTGTATTTGTAATTCATTTAATAAAATGATTAATAGGGATACTTTCAATTACAATTGGGATAAAACTGTGATTAGCACCACAGATTTCAGAACATTGCCCATAAAATAAAGCTGGTCGATTTATTAAAAAATTAGTTTGATTTAGACGGCCAGGAGTTCCATCAACTTTTACACCTAAAGAAGGAACTGTTCAAGAGTGAATTACATCTGCTGCAGGTACTAAGATTCGAATTTCTACATCTAATAATCGAAATCCATCTGTAGTTAATTCATTTGTTGGGATTATATAAGAATAAAATTCTACATTTATAAAATCTGAGTATTCATAACTTCAATATCATTGATGCCCAATAGTTTTTAAAGTTACTGAAGGTTCATTAATTTCATCTAATAAATATAATAATCGTAAAGAGGGAAATGCAATAAATAAAAGTGCAATAGCTGGTAAAATTGTTCCAATTATTTCAATAGTTTGGCCATGTAATAAATTTCGATTTGTATAATTATTAAAAAATAATATAAATATTAAATAACCAACTAAAGTAGTAATTATTACTAAAATTATAAGTGTATGATCATTGAAGAATGTAAGTTGTTCTATAAGGGGAGAGGCACTATTTTGAAGGCCAAGAGCAGCTCATGTTGTCATTTATTTATAAATATTCTAATAAAAGTAAAATACTTTATGTATGAAGCTTAAATCCATTGCACTAATCTGCCATATTAGAAATTTGTTAAAATAGGCAATTCAGAATATCTATGTTCTGCTGGAGGTGTGTTTTGTAATCATTCAATTGAAGAATTTAATTGTATTGGATAAATTACTTGTCGTTGTGAAATTAAACTTTCTCAAATAATAAATAAGAAAAATAAAATTCCTAGTAATGAAATAGAAGACCCAATAGTTGAAATTACATTTCATGTAGTATAAGCATCGGGATAGTCTGAATATCGTCGAGGTATTCCTGCTAATCCTAAGAAATGTTGAGGGGAAAAAGGTTAAATTTACACCAATAAATATAATTAAAAATTGAGTTTTTAATCATTTTGAATTTAAAATTAGTCCTGTAAATAAAGGAGCAAACACGGCTCCTATTGATAATACATGATGAAAATGTGCAACTACATAATAAGTGTCGTTAAGGATAATATCAACTGATGAATTAGCTAAAACAACTCCGGTTAAACCTCCAACAGTAAATAGAAAAACAAATCCTAAAGTTCATAATATAGCTGGAGAATAATTTAATTGAGTTCCATGCAGTGTAGCTAGTTAGCTAAAAATTTTAATTCCTGTGGGTACAGCAATAATTATAGTTGCTGAAGTAAAATAGGCTCGTGTATAAACATCTATCCCTACTGTGAATATATGAAGTGCTCATACAATAAAACCAAGAAGGCCAATTGCTATTATTGCATAAATTATTCCTAATGAGCCAAAAGTTTCCTATTTTCCGGATTCTTTACTAATAATGTGAGAAATTATTCCAAATCCAGGTAAAATTAAAATATAAACTTCTGGGTGGCCAAAAAATCAAAATTAGTGTTGATATAAGATTGGATCTCCTCCACCGGCTGGGTCAAAGAATGAAGTATTTAAATTTCGATCTGTTAAAAGTATTGTAATAGCTCCTGCTAATACCGCTAAATTAAAATTTTTGAATTAAAAAATTAATTAATATGATATATTTTAAAATTATTGAATATAAAAATTAATCTAAAAGATAGAAATGAATATGTGTAGCTTATATTTAAGTAGAAATGGGTTACAATAAAATTATTTAAGTGAATTTAAATTTGAAATATTTAATGAAAATGGATTTGATAGTAAAATTTTATAGATTAAAAATTTGATTTTAGCTGTAAAATATGCAAATATCGCCCGTCGCTCTTATTCTTAAGATAAGCTAAGCCGTAACATAGTAGATGTACCGGAAGGTGTATTTAGAATGACAATTTAAAGCTTATTTAGTAAAGTATTTCATTTACATTGAAAATATTTTTGTGCAAATCAGTATAAATTGATTAATATTTATTTATTAATTTATATTTATTTTATTTATAATTTACTAAAAATAATTATATAATTTAATGTTTAATAAAACCAAGAAGGCCAATTGCTATTATTGCATAAATTATTCCTAATGAGCCAGAAGTTTCCTTTTTCCGGATTCTTTACTAATAATGTGAGAAATTATTCCAAATCCAGATAAAATTAAAATATAAACTTCTGGGTGGCCAAAAAATCAAAATAAGTGTTGATAAGATTGGATCTCCTCCACCGGCTGGGTCAAAGAATGAAGTATTTAAATTTCGATCTGTTAAAAGTATTGTAATAGCTCCTGCTAATACCGCTAAATTAAAATTTTTGAATTAAAAAATGAATTAAAAACTTGATTAATATGATATATTTTAACATTATTGAATATAAAAATTTATCTAAAAGATAGAAATGAATTACTGTAGCTTATATTTAAGTAGAAATGGGTTACAATAAAATTATTTAAGTGAATTTAAATTTGAAATATTTAATGAAAATGGATTTCATAATAAAATTTTATAGATTAAAAATTTGATTTTAGCTCTAAAATATGCAAAGATCGCCCGTCGCTCTTATTCTTAAGATAAGATAAGTCGTAACATAGTAGATGTACCGGAAGGTGTATCTAATGACAATTTAAAGCTTATTTAGTAAAGTATTTCATTTACATTGAAAAGATTTTTGTGGAAATCAGTATAAATTGATTAATATTTATTTATTAATTTATATTTATTTTATTTATAATTTATTAAAAATAATTATATAATTTAATGTTTGTATTGAAAAAATAATATTAATAATAGTTTATTAAGTATTGTGAAAGATAATTGATATAATTTGAAAAATTATTATTTAATTTAATTTTAATATAAAATATATGAATAGAATTTTCAATCATTTATAAATTTGTTATAAATTATTTTATAATTTTTATTATTTACTATTATTTTAAGTTTTTATAAAAAAATTTTCATAAATTTTTTATGAAAAGTAATAATGATAAAATTAGTATATTTTATATTGTATATATAATTTTAGTTGACAAGTTTAGATAAAGAACTCGGCAAATTTATATACTCGCCTGTTTAACAAAAACATGTCTTTTTT